TGCTGCTCTGATCATCTGAGCGTTAGTTCCCTCTCTGGGGAATCTCAGGCTGACTCTCTGGGGCTGCCGCAGCAGCACCCCTAAGTTTCCAGTTCTGGCTCACAACCCTGGTACGGCTCTGGCCCCCCCAAGGCGCGTCGGGTCCTAGGCCTTCCGAACACTTCCCCGTGCGCCCCCCAGCGGAGAACCAACCGCGGAGCCACCGAGGTCCTAAAGGGGGCGCAGGAAGGGGCGCCGCCACTTTGCACCCAATCTGGTCCCGGAACCCGGGGGTGGGTAGAGGACTGCTAGAAGACGTGGGCGGGGGGGGGGGGGGGGGGGGGGGGGGGGGGCAGGACTGGTGTCTTTCGGGCTCATATCCGAGGATCTGCTGGCCCCGACGCCTCGACGTCCCCTTCCCCCAAAAGGCGGAGGTCAACGTACCCGCGGACAGAGCCCCCAGGAGGGGTGTGCACTGGCGCAAGCTCAGAGGCTCCGGTCCAGGTTCAGGGACTAGGGAGGTGTCGAGGTATCTAGTCTCCAAATCTCAGAGCTCTATACACGTGTCCTTCTGGGACCCTGCACCGAACCCCCTCCCCCGCTTCTGCCCAGTGATGTGTAGTCCCGTCCTTCCGGGGGGCCCAGGCGCGCTGCGAGGAGGGGTGCGGAGTGGTGGAAGGGGGACGCAGACCCTTCATCTTACCGCATTGTTGAGGAAATCCGACTCGTTCAGATCCCCCAGGTCCAGGAAGCTGGATCCGGGGAACAGCCTATCGGCCGGGAAGGGCTCCAAGACGGCGTCCATCGCGGCCGGCTCCGGAGACCCTCTTCGCCTGCTCTTCCCTTACTCCAGGGCGGCGGCGCACCCGGCCCAGAGCTCCTGCCTGAGCAGTGGCTAGCGGGCGGGGGCAGGTCCGGGGCGAAGCCCCGGGGAGGGGCGGGCGCAGGCGGCGCAGCCCCGGGTAGGGGGCGCGGGGGGCGCTGGGGGCGCGGGGGCCTTAGGGCAGAGGCGCGGAGCTGGCTGGGCTCTGGGGCCCCGGGCGCACCGCGAGCATTTAGCCGACTCCTCCTCCTCCAGCTCCTCCTGGGGCACAGCTGGCTTCCATGGGGAGCCTGCGAGTGGGGCTGAGGGCCTGAGAAGCCCCCCGGACAGGGTGGGAGCCGGGGGTGGGGGAGCTGAGCGCTCCCCCGAGACTGGGTGGCTGCCCGGCGCTCCGCTCTCTCTCTGCGCCTCCCTCTGCACGGCTTCTGTCACTTTCCTCTCAGTGAAACCGGGAACCCCTGGCTGGTTAGCCCAGCTGGCCGAAGGGCCACGCCCCCACATCAATATTCACGATAAATTTCATATTAATGAGAAGAGGGAGAGGCCTGGGGAATGGTCCCTCCTCTTTTAAAGAGACATCTTCAAGTTAATGTTTTGCCAATGTGTCTGATCTCTAGGGTCTGGAAGCAAAATTAGCCTGGAGCCAATAACTGCTCCTGAAACCTCAGCATCTCGTTAAGGCTTTGCCAGCCACTCTCAAGTTCATGAGGGAGCTGAGTGACTGCCATTCTTCCAGCCCTTATGCTAGAAATTCAGTCAGGGAGTTCCATCTATGGGCCCCTCAGCAGGTCTCTGGATGGGGAGATTTTCACATATCTCCTCCTCCAGGAAGACTTCCCTGGCCTGCAGGCTGGAGCAGGTGGTATCCTATATACTCAAGGGACACAGTGTGCTTACCTCCTGTGTGGCTAGTCTAAGGTGTTACTGTCATTGCTCACAAGTCTATGACCCCATTGGACTCTGAGATCCCTCAGGGCAAGGACTGTACCCGGCTTTTCTGTGTGTGAAAGGACCCAGTGAACAGCAGAATGAGGCGAGGACCCTTTTTCTGTTCAATCATCTCTTTAATGGCTCAGGACAGAAAGAAGTTGAAGAACAGTGGCATGGATCCTGCCAAGTGTGGCTGGCTGCACAACCCCATGATCACCAAACATCCCCAGGTCCCCTGGATCCATTACCTAAGTGGCTTGCTCAGGAGTACAGCTTAATCTCTTGAAAGGGCTGATAAACAATCACCAGGCACCTGAACAAATGGAGGTGGTTCAGAAAGCCGCTCCCTGAGAGGGCTGAGCACACTGGTTCTTGCCCACAAGTCATTAATAGGATTAAGTGTGTTCTCTCTGTCTGGGGCTTTTAATTAGCTCAGGAACCAAAAGGCCCTAAAGAGGCAGAGATGTCACTGCAGTTAAGCCAGAATGTCACCGAAATTGTTCTCTCAGTGCCAAGGTGGGTGCACACACAGAGGCTGAGATAGAAGCTGTTTGCTTGCCTGGGGCGGGTAGGCAGGCACATGGCGTTCCCTCCATCTCATGACCCAGTTGACATAGTTCTGGAGAATAAGGTTCTGACCCTCCGGGCTGTCACATGACTATTAGCTCCCAGGCCTCCTGGAGAGCTTGCTCCTGAAAAACTGAGAGTATAGCCCATGCTTTAGGGACTGGTTCACCCAGCAATGCAACTCAGAGCAGACCCAGTGGGCCAAAAAGCAATCGGTTGACTCTCAAAACAGTGACAGGTAGAATTAGGGTGCTGAGACCATGGGTGTGCTTCCCAAATGCATCGCATCTGGCCAACTGGGGAACATTCCAACACGGAGAATGTGGCTGATCCCTTTTCGAGAGGGGGCGGGACGCAGTCTCTGGCTGGGTCATCATGCCAGTCTGTGGTGGGTGAGCAGGTGCCTGGGGTCCTGGTTCCCAACCTGGAGTTCCTGCAGCCCCCAGGAGGAACAAAAGTGTCCCTCTGCCTGAGGTTGGCTGGAAATTGTGCCTGTGTTCCTCCCAGCCAGCTCTGTAATTAGAGACAGAGGCACCATTTAAGTGATTGGGGAAGATTATATAGTTTTAGATAAATAGGATTAGAGTGTCCTCTCTTTCCTGATTCTTACCCAGGTGAACACCCCAGGAAACCATTGAAAATAATCCTGGGGAGACATTCTGGTTCCGGCACTGTGGGGTCTGAGAGGCAGAATCTCCCAGGAGAAATCCTGGGGAGGGGGGAAGGGGAGAGAGAGAGAGAGGGAATGGGCAGTGCAGAGCCTGTCTTGTAGTAGGAACATGATCAATTTTTTTTTTTTTCTGGAATGGAGGGAATGGCAGGGGATTTGGCCACACATTCTGCAGATATTATTGAGCACATATGAACCTTCCCTAGACCAGGCACTGGAGATACAGCAGTGATTAAGAACTTTTCTGGAGTGAAGGAGGAAAGAATGGGTAGAAGAAATTTAAGAAGCTGATTTCAGATAATGGGAGGACCACGAAAGAAATAAAGTAGTACGATACAATTAAGGGGGGAAGGAAGTCCTCTCCGAAGAGGCGATGTGTGAGCTGAGAACAGAAGCCTGAACTGAGAGGTAAAATGGGGCAAGATGGAAGGAAAAGCATTCCAGACAGAGAGAAGAGCAAGTAGAAGAGAAAGACTGGGAGGAACAGGCATTGACATGGGAGTGAGAAGGTGAATGTGAAACCCCATGCCCTACACAAGCCCGCTATGTGCTACCACACTGAGGCTCGAGATTCTGTGCTATTCCAGCACCGAAAAGAATTGTGCCAGTTCAGATTAGAAGGCCCACCTGAAGCTTTCTGTAAGCAGTGCATCCCTTCTCTATTCTCTCTTACTGATTTTCTGGGAGAGGAAATTAGACAGTCTACTGGGTCTAAAGTTGGGTTCTAAGCCAACAGGGAGGGTCTGCTCCCTCCCTGCCAATCCCTGGACCTGGTGCCACAACCCAGCCCCTCTCAGGCCCCTTCTGTGCATCTGAAGGGTCAGGGGAAGGAGGCTGAGATTGGTTCTGTAAACACCCCAATCCAGGTCAAGAAAAGGACAGGCTGTAGCCCCTTCTATTATGGGTTCGGGAACATCTGGTTGTTGCTCTTCAGCAGCTGCTTCAGATGTGAAGTGAAATGAATAAATATATCCCAGCCCAGGCAGTGACGCACAGGAGAGAAAGGACAGAGATAAGCTTCCTGCCTGTCCCAGACACGGAAGGTCAGGTGGAGAGTGGGTCTCCTTGTCAGGCTGAGCTGTGAGCAGGGATGGTTGTGTGTGTGTGTGTGTGGGGGGGGGGTGTATCTTGGATGGGGACTGCCACATTTTGAATCCCCTGGAGGGTCACTGTCTTTCTCTGGGTCTCAGTTTTCACATCTATAAAATAGGAGACATGTAATGACCCATAGGGTCCTGTCCTCTCCAAGGACCTTCCAAATGTGCCTATACGGAGACAGGTGTTGTCAGAGGGTGGACTGGGAAGGGGTAAAGGACCTGCGTCCTTAGGAACCCTGGCACTCAGACTTTTCAGGCTCCTGCCCGGATCCTCCAGAAGGGTGCATGGCTGGCTATTTACACTCAGCAGGCAGGCCCTGGGTGGTGGTGAGAAGGTCACCCAAAGTAAACCTGCCTTGTTTGCCCGGATTGTAAAGGGAAAAACACTTTGGCATACTCTAACAGGAACTTCTGAGAAATGAAAAGGTATTCATCCTGGAGATTAAGCTGACTTCCGGGGCACAGATGGGGCCCTTTGTTCTCTCGTGGTTCCCTAAAATGGACTTCGTGGCTGCTCTCCCTGTGCCCCCTGCTGGGGCTAGTGTCCCTGGGGTGGCACCCTGCCAGGGGGGTGGGGGTGGGCTTCAGACCCAGGCTCTCACTCTTCCCCATCCCCTTGGCCTGTGGTTCTTACCTGTTCCTCCCTGAACCATAAAAATACCTGACATTTATCGAGTACTTGCTTTGTGCCAGGCACTAAATACTTTACTTATATTATCGCATTTAATTCTTGGAAAAAGCTTGTGAAATAAGTATCATATTCATTGCTTCTAAGATGCATGTTTTAACATCACTGAAATCAGAGTGTGTCTTGTAATCAATGGCGTGTTATAGTTGTTTTTTCCTTCTCAATGTCCATAAAGTAGCGGTGCATCATACAACTGATGACACAGATTCTCATATTCAGTGAAACATGATTTACTATCATCACCAACCCTCAGATGAGAAGACTGAGGCTCAGAGAGCTTATGACTTACCACTCCTTTGTTTTACAGGGAAAAAAGGCCTAGGGCCATAGGACGCTTGCCTTAGGTCACCAGCTTCAGTGGGGCAGAGGCAGGGCTGAAATCTGGGCCTCCAGTCTTCTTACCCAGGGCCCTTTCCACTCACCCCAGATGAACTGGCTTTGCTCACTTGGGAGAGGCAGGAGCCGAGGGGAGGGCCTTCCAGGACCTTCCTCAGCAGCTGGTGAATCACCAGCCACCCTGCCTTGGAGAAGGACCTTGAAGATAGATTTTTTCCCTCTCCAAATTCTCTGAAGACTGAAGTTCCTTAAGGACTAAGAAAACACTTGCCTCCCTTCCCACTCCTTTTCCTGGTAATTATTTTAGCTTTGCTTTCCCTGAATTTCTGTTCTACTGTCCCATCTTTGGACTGGAGGCAGGCCCGCCCCTTGGCCCTCTGTCTGCCTGCCGCCTGGGGAACAGCTCCACCCGCTTCCTGCTTTGCTCAGTCCTGCTCTGAACTCACCCTTCTTTCTTCTACCTCGAGTCACCTGCACCAACTCTGCTTCTGGATGCCTCTCTAACCCAGGCCACTGGCTCCAACCCCAGAGACATACACTCAGGCATATAACCTCCAGCCCCTTTGCTTTCTAAGTCTGAAGTCAGGGGAGAAAAGTCAACAAAGCCAGGCTTTCCTCTTGCCTCAATGAGCCCTCATGTTGTTGGGGACACTCCCCGGCAAATCCTGCCCCACTGAGGCCTGGCAGAGCTGGA